TCGTGTGTTTGAATAAAAATCCTGCAGCAGGAAGTACCTAATGAGACGGAGCATCGTCTTTCAAAGGACGTCGTAGGGCAAAAAGAAAGGGTCGGGAAGGAATGTGGATGCTGGTTATATAAATAGGGTTGGGTATCGAAAACACTTGACTTGGGGCTGGGTTTGATACACAATCCTAGAGGCCGTTGTGTTTTACAGCCTGCTGTGGCAAGCTGCCGTTTGTCCGGGGCTGGGCTTCGTGCAGGTAACGCTGATGCCTTCCGTCCTAGGAGGAAAAAAGAGCGGTGCCACTTCTGCTGGGCTGAATGCCTGCAGTATTTCATGCAGTGTGATTAATTAAATTATTCCAGTGTTAACCTACTCTGGGCTTTGCTTTTAAAATGGATGAACTTGAGGGGAAGAAAAAAAAAAAAGCCCAAATGCTGAAGAGAGAGTTTGTATTTCTCCCTAGTATGTCCCTAGGAAAGTCTTGCCTTTTGTTTTAAGCCTGATGCCTTCAATGAAATATCCAAGAAGACTGATTAGAAGCCATGCATAATGATAGCATGGAAATAAGAGATGCGTGGGGTTTAGGTTGTGAAACAATGGAAATAACATAAAATACTAAACTGATTATGTACTGTGTGAGATCTTGTTTTAAGGTTTAGATAAAAACCCACAATTTGTAGTTCTGGCAGCAGGCTACGTTACTCTTTTTTTAAATCTATTTGGAAATGTATACATTTATTTCCCTTTACTGGCTCCTAACGGAGATGTTATAACAGCACTTTGTGCTGAAGCAAGCGCTCGGGCTGTCTTGTCTGCTTCGAACTGAGGAAGGCTCCGTTACCGAGAATTTTCTCTGCAGCCCTTAGTTAGCCAGAAATGCCGTTTGTAACGAAATCCTCGTCCTTCCCTCCGCAGCTGAATCTGGTATCGAGCGTCACGCTTTCCAAGACTGCATCCGAGGCGTCTCCGCAGAGCTTACCTCATACTCCCACCACCCCGACTGCGCCCATCACTCCCGTCACGCAGGGACCGTCGGTCATCACTACCACGAGCATGCACAACGTCGGACCCATCCGGAGGCGGTACTCGGATAAATACAACGTCCCCATTTCTTCAGGTAAAGGGGTTCTGGTGGCACAGCCCCTTCGGTGGGGCTGCTTGCTGTTGCCTGCAGCCTGGCAGTGGCAGGCTGTGATGATAACAGAACAACTGCTCTTATTTAGCAGATATTGCCCAGAACCAAGAATTTTATAAGAACGCAGAAGTTAGACCACCATTCACGTATGCATCTTTAATTAGACAGGTAAGCTGAGCCGAACACACGCATTTGGATTAGAAAAAGAATATCTCCCTATATGTGCGCACTCTGGATTAAATAGATTTTCAAACCTTTGGTATGTAAGCATGCTCAAATGCTCAAACCTTTACTATAAGGGTTTTTAGAACTGCAATATATAACATAATTGCTTTTGATTAAGTATTACAATACGATGTGATTATTAGGAAATTCATTTCACACAACAGTGAAAATGAGCCTGTTTAAAGATGGCAAGTCAATTATCACAAGCTACAGTAATCTCTGATCCCTAGAATTAATCTGAGCTCTAAATAATTACTGAGCTTTAATCAGCTAGTGAAATGTTTTGCATTTCTCTTTGATTCTGCTTTATGAATGACTAATAAATTAATATTTCTGTAAGGAAACAGAAATAAAAACTCAAAACAATTAGATAATTCCATTTTGAATTTTGCCATTGAACTGTTAAATACAGCCATTAATCTTAGTTCATATTGTGAAAACCCTCCTTTGGATTTTTTGCTCCAAATCTCTGCTTGCTTGCTTCCTTTCTTTCTTCCTTCCTTTCTTTCCTTTTTGTATTTGGTAAAATAAAACTGTGAGTGTATTTTGTACTGGTGTGCTCATAACTGATCTTGCAATTGCTTTGCTTCACAAGGCCATCCTCGAATCTCCAGAAAAACAGCTAACACTAAATGAAATCTACAACTGGTTCACGCGAATGTTTGCATACTTCAGACGCAACGCGGCGACGTGGAAGGTAAGCCTTAGCCCGCCTATGCCTCTTGCCTTTGATATCTGACATGTACAGAATAGACATTGCTGATGACATAACAAATTGTAACGACATGTGGACATGAAAATTTAGATCGGCAGTTTTGTCACACACTGGGTGCCTTATCTGCAGGAACAATTTGATATTTGGCAGAAAAATTCTTCTGCCTTTGGAAACCACTAATTGAATCCCCATTATTGGCTTTTATGTTCGGTGTTTATGCCATGAGTTCCTCTGTGTGGTTGCTGCTAGCATTGAAACTCAAGCCCTTCAGCTGGAACGTATTAGGGGGGAAAAAAAAAGAACGAGGTAAAGTTATTGTGTGAGTAGAAGATATACTGTTTGTCTTTTTAGTTATGCAGACTGTAATCACAACAGCCACTTTTTTTCTTAGTGCCTGTAGATAAGTGGATTTCTTTCCTCAATCAATTGACTCTCAACTACATACACAGATCTGTTATAAACTTCCTTTTTTTTTTTTTTAAATCACACAGCAGAAGCTTATTGAACATAATACACAAGAAGCAAGCCCCACAATAAGAATTGTGTTTAAGAAGAATAAACTTGATATTTGGCACTTCAGTTTCCTACCATAACCATCTTAGATATTGTTAGATAAGAGGTCTGGGGAGTTAATCTTATTTTATGTTTTGGGGGACACCCCTTATATATACCATTATAATAGCCACACTGGCTTCTGAAGCTAGTGCAATTACAAATGAATGAATCAAATAATAGGATCTTGTATCGCTGTAAAAATTGCACCCCTGGTACTTTGAGCCGCTCTTAATCTAGACAACTCGGTTGCTCTCAAACAACCTCAAATGACCAGGCGGGATGAATACGTCCCATACATGCTGTTTCATCAGCTCTTTCTGATTTTCCTGTCTCAGCCTGCATTTAGGATTAATTCCTTCAGAGGGTGAAGCTAAAAATGGTCCTTGGAAGTTAGCTTGGTTTTTAGTAGCATGTTTTGCCTTTAGTTCAGATCCCAACGCAATTTTGTACATTTTTAACCTTGGTCTAGAAGCTCTTCGGTTCAGGAAGAGTCTTGTGATTGCTGCTTTGATTCTTCACTGCAGTTGGAAAACATGAGCAGTGTTTCACTTTGCAGCTTCCTTACTATCCAGAAAGGAAATTAACTTTCCCTGATTTAAGATCCTTTTTAGACCTGCCTGTCTTTTGCTGCTGGAGTGGTTCCAGTAGGACTTTTCAGCAGCTGCAGGTGTGGGTGCTAAAGTAAAAATCCTATTTAATTCCAGCAGCAGAGGGAAGGGAGGTGGAGGGGGGAGTGGAAGAAGGCAGCAGGCAGGCCTGGCCGTATCTCCTGCGAGGCTAGTTTTAGGAATTGGCTTTGTGCATCACGTAAAATCCAGTCCCAGAAGCCTCCTGCACTTACGGTGTGCTTCTGCAGAGGAGGAGGAGAGAGGCCGAGTTGCAGACCCTCGGGCTTGCAGAAGGGCAAGGTATGTCCCGGGGAGGCAGGTACCATGTAGAGACCCCTCCTGGATACCTTGACCTTGTGCAGGTGTCCAGGTCCTGCTTCACCTACCTGGGAAGAGAAGCTTCACCCCAAATTCCACCAGCCCTAGCAAAACTGGCAACCGCTTGAAGTAATGGAGGTTTTTGTGCTGAAGACTGCTCAGATTTATGCCAGCCTTCAGGAACAGCGGGAATGAAAATGCAGCTCTGGATTGGCATGACGGGAAGCCCACAGGGTGCAGAGCAAGCACAAGGGGCTAATTGCAGAATCAGAATAATTGGAATATATACGTGCTGATTTGCACTCACCTTCAGCTAATGCTTAGGGGGCATTTGGGTCAGTGTTCCCCAAGTTTAGGGTCAGGGTTCGGTGTGGGCAAGCTTCCCTGAGCCCTCTTTCAAAAACACAGAAGAGTGCAGGAATAAAGACCTTTAAAAAATGAACCTCTCTCCCAAAATGCAGTACAGCAGAGCCTGAGCAGTTATTAAAATAACAAACCCTTTCATTTACTACATTCAAGCATGTTCAGGGTAATTCTTCTGCAAAAGTGGCTTGCATACAAATATTTTTAACAAGGTAAATATGTAATCTTACAATAATAGCTCCTAATTTTTCTGTTAAGCTGATTGCTGGGGGAGCACTGTGAACTGGTTTTGACAGGTCAGAGGCAATGTCTGTTTGCTTTTATTTTTTGGAGTAATTTGCTGGCACTGAGTTGCAGCCATGAGGCACAGGCTGCAGGTGTGGCTCCAAAACGTTGGGGTATTGTTCAAATAAAACTGTTAGATAGCAAGTATCCAGAGGCAGGGGAAACAAAACAATTTTTTTCTGCCATGAATTCCTTAAATAAGTCATCACGTGGAAAATAGAAAGCGAGGGCAACACTTCATGGACGTCTTGCAAATATTCAACTTGTCTGTCTCAATGTATTCAGCAAGAGCCCGATCCAGCAGCCTTAACCATCAATTGCACATTGACTTCAAGAGAGCAAGAACAGACTGTAAAGTATTTCTCTGGCATTAAATTTATTTAAAGAAGAACACAAATATTTCTGCTCAGCCGTGTATTTAGAGACTATTTACAAACTCTGAGGACTCACTTCGCTGAACTTTGCTGTGTGCATTTGATCAACTGCTGTCTGAACTACAAGATCAGCTTTCACTGGGGGAAATAGCGTTATTATTCTTACATTTTGCTCCAGACTTGACAGTGTTCCCATTTTCACAGGAAGCTGGCTGAGTTACCCAGATGTGGGCCGGCAGCCCTGTGTCAGGTTGCACTAGTGCGGCACCCACCAGCAGTTGCTGAGCTCGCTGATTTTAGCCAGTAAGGCGTTGGGCATTTGCATGTTTTTCCTCCACCTCAAAATCAGGGATTTTGCCAAAAATTTCAAAACTAGTGAAATCTGGGAGAGGTGGGAGGGAACCAAAAAAAAATCATTAAAAAATAAGAACAGAAGAAAGTAAGGGCAGAAAGAAGCAGCCCTGATGGACAGGTTGACTTTCTGCTAGATTTCTGCCTTGCTGAGAAGAAAAGCATATCGAAGGTTTGTTTTTCCACCAGTTCACAAGCAGATCAGCGTGGAAAAGCTGAAGTGCCCGGACCCTGCCACAGAGCCGGGATTGGGCCCCTACAGCCAGAGGAAACGCGTTTGCACTCGAGCATCTGCTGAGAAAAGGCATTTCAAGCCCTGACTTTTCCCCTGTACCGGGGACGGGAGTGTGGGGACTGTGCTAGTGACGGCAGAGAAATGGAAAAGTAGCAAAAGACTCTTAGCCTTCCCCTCCCAGGCACACACACACCACTGCCTCTTAATTTACATGACAAATGCACTGTGCGTACCCTTTGTTTGCACAGTGATTTAGACATTCATGATTAGAGCTCCTTTTCACCATCCAGACCCGATGTTCATTAAAAAAAAAAAAAAGAAAAAAAGAAGACGACGACGGAAGGAATAAAAATTGTAGTCTCTTGGTTGCCTAGACCCAGGCCATGTGTTTGGCTGGCATTGTGCCTGCTAACAAGTCAACCAGATTGACTAAATCAATGGTGCCAGTGATGATGGATGGAGTTTGTTCGCCTGCATATTTTCAGCAAATGGCTTCTTCTGTTTTCCCTGTTTACCAAGCCCCTTTCAGCAGCGCTGGGGACAAGCTCCATGTACAAATTCGAGTGGCTTTGTAGTAGGGTATTTGCTCAGAAAACTCCTAAAACGGGGAAGGAGCATGGCACTCCCATTTGAGGGATAACAAGGCTCTCGGCACCGTTTCAGAGGGAGCGGAAACAGAAAAGCCACAGCTTGCCGTGATAAAGCGAGGTGTCTCATTATGTCCCGGCTTCAGCAAAGGTCCGAGCACGTCGGAGGGGTTGGCCGGGCTCATCCTTCCCCGGCACCGAGCTGCAGAGAGGACATCTGAGCATCGGATGCCATGAGCACGGGTCCCTCTGGGTGATGAGCTGTGGGGATATTATCACTTTGTTTCGGAGAGCCCTCCTCATGTTTTCACTTGGCAGAGGCTCAGATCAGTCAGTACAGTAGTCTGCCAGAAATAGGAGCCAACTTCCATATAAGAGCAAGCCGTGGAGGCAGGAGTCAGTGCCGTGCCGGCCGGTGGGGTGCTGCCGAGCCCCCCGGTCCGTGCCGTGGGTGTGGAAGGAGGTTCAGCACCTGATTCGCATTAGCCCAGCTGTGGGAAACTGCAGCAACACCAGCTCCGGCGTGCCTCTGCTAAATTGAGCCGTCCGTAGTTACATGAAATCCTTTCTGTTCTTTCTAACTGCTTTCTTTTCCAGGAGAGGACAAGTTTCTCTTTGCAGAGCGTATATATTTGTTTTGAAAACGTTTAAGCAATGTTCCTCTTGTGTTCTGTATGAAATGTGCTGTATTATACAACATGCATGCTTAAAATGATGGCTGTTCTCATTCACACTGGGGATAATTGATAAGAATAACTTGACTTTCTAATCTTGGGTTTAAGCTTTTATATTTATTTTGTCTTTGCAAAAATAAGATGTAAAGAGCCGGGGAAAGCAAGCGGGTGCGGGGAGGGGAAGGGGCTTAACATTGCGAAATGAGGACTGTCAAGCTGACTGTGCTGCTGTTCTTGGACAATGATGAGCATTTTCTCATAGAAAGTTTTTGAATGTTTTCTCTTTTATACTTGCTGCAGAATGCAGTGCGTCATAATCTTAGTCTTCACAAGTGTTTTGTGCGAGTAGAAAACGTTAAAGGGGCAGTATGGACAGTGGATGAACTAGAGTTCCAAAAACGAAGGCCACAAAAGATCAGTGGGTATGTCCACCATGTTTGAACTTCTTAGCCTAGCTTGGATCATGCTTACAGTTTAACGTAGAGGCTTTTGGCTGCTAGCTGGTGTTAGACCAACCACAGGTGGTTTCGCATTGTTTCAGTTAAGGGAAACCAAGACAAACATCTCATCACTACTGTTTGTATGCCCACCAGTACCCTGACCCTGCTTGCTTGGTGTTTGTTGCATCACATGCTAGTAGCTTTTAGGTGGCAATGCATATTAACCCTCACAAACCATTTGCTTATGCTTATTGCATTTTATTTTCTTTTTCCTTTTCCCTGTATTTGATGTCTGTTCTGTCCCCGATCCCGTGTCCCTTTGTTTCCACTTCATCTCCTTTGCTGCTGCTCTTGTCCCAGGGTGCCATTCGCACCAACCTCTCACTGCATAAGTGCTTTATCAGAGTAGAGGATGAGTTTGGGTCCTTTTGGACTGTTGATGATGAAGAGTTTAAACGTGGCCGTCATATTCAACGAGGCCGTCCTCGAAAATACTGCCCTGATGAAAACTTTGGCGAGCTTGTTGCACAGTAAGAGCTTTTACTTGCTTTAATTTTTTTTTTCTGCTGTTGCTTTGCTTTGCATGATTTACCCATCTCATGTAGACTTGCATTTCACGAAATAGTGACATCACCTTTGCTGCTAAAGAAACTAAATTTTTGGTTGTTATGTGTATTTTGTGTGTCCTACTCTGATAATCCAAATGCCTGTAGTAATGACTCTACTTTGACATGTTTGTTATAGCATTTGTTTATAGTGCAATGTAGACTAAAATAATTATCCACGCTAGTGCAGATATGCTGCTGTAGGCCTGTCAGGAAGACAGATCTATGCCAGGAAAGGCTTCAGATAAGTTTTAATTCTGATATTTTCCTTTGCTTTCAGTTGTATGCCTTGTTTTGCATAGTGTAAGGTGCTTATAAAACAGAAATGCTGAATTAACTTTATAAAGTTTGAAAGTGCAGTGAGACCAGCTGTAAAGATTATAATCAACAGGCCGACCCGTGTCTACCACAACCGTGCACAAATATTCCTGGGGTTCCCAAAGCAATTTTCTTTCACCTTTACTCGAAGGCCATCTCTCCAGGACAACTGATTCTTGCTGGTCCCTGTGGGAGAGGCTCAGTAAAGACTCTTCTCACCATGATTTACTCCCACGTGAAAAACCAAAAAAAAAAAAAAAAAAAAGCCCAGTGAGCAATAAAACTTTTTGGAGATTTTTTGCTTTGGCACTTGTTACCTAGTTTGTTTTCAGTTATTTTTTTATTATTTTTTCCCCTCTGGTGGAACCAGTGATATTTAGATGCCCGCTAAAGAGAAAGCAGATATGCTTGGTGTTCATTTTCTTCAAATCCGGCCCCTTATGTAAACTTAAGATGACTAAAGTAAAGGTCCAAAATAGCACACCAGAATATTTTTTTATTAAAACGGCCTTTAGGGCAGCGTGTTGTTTTGCGTGGTCCATGCTGTTCCGCTGCGGTGCAGCAATACCTGCCGTCGTGCCTCCGTGCCTGCAGCCCCAAACAGTTTGGGGCGATGGCGCAGGCAGTCCCTCAGCGGGACCACTCGCCGTTTGCCTGGCAGGAAGCAACACGGCTCAAATCCTCTCTCGTCGCGGTCCCTCTGCTCCATTGCGAGGGACTCTGCTGCCAGCGACTCGGAGAATAACGTGCATGAAGTAGTATTTAAAATATCCCGCGATGCTTTCGACCGTGGCCTTCTCATGATGGACTTTTACGTGGTAACTGGCTCCCAGACACGATCAATATTGGAGAATTTCTCCTGAACGCAACTAAAATGAGCAGAGATGCCAAGATGTGCTCCTAACGCAGGGTAGTAGAACACATGGCAAGGTAACGTCGAGAGATAATGATGTTCCTTATTTAGTAAAGGCAAATATGATAACCGTAGCCTAAAACTCAGATATTTTCTTTAAATTAAAAAAAAAAAAAAGAGAAACGAGAGAGAACTTGTGTGGAAAAACAGTTTCAGCTCTAGTTTTCTGGTGTGGGAGGAAGCATTACATGCTTGAAATGCTCACACAGAAGTTGGTTGCATTTAACTCTCCTTTTTATGTTTTTCTTATGCAGTAACCCTTCTCTTATTAAAAACATACAGACCAGCCACACCTACTGCACACCTCTCAATGCTGCTTTACAGGTAAGATTAATGACTGTAGCAAATATGCAACAGAGACGTGTGTCTTCCCCACTCATTTCAAAATATATTAGCCTTGCTCTAATTAGATATTAAATTTTAATTCCGTTAAACTTTTTTCTTAAGTGCATAAAGCATCATAGTCCCTGGAGGCAAACACATATCAGGCTGCTTCAGCATTAGCTAGATGCTTAGCATTTTGAATATTGTGGCAAAAAAATTAAAAGTTCACTTATTAATATTTATCAGCAGTATCATAATTTCCATCCTCTTATTTCAGAATTTCACTTGAGGCAAAAATACCACAAGTGTAATTACTCTAGCACAGCTATTAATGTGCTGAATGATAGGATACTGCGGCACGTGACCTTCTATTGTTCATGGGTTTAAAGAGAAAGCAGATCATTTTTCCCCCCTTTTCTTTTAAGGGCTATTTTTGCATATCTTCCCGTGGTTGGTAAAAAATAAATGTCGCAATTCCTATAGGAAAAAAAAAAAAGATCATTTGTATTGGTTTAAACTGTACTGTAACTGTAAGACAAAAATTCTGGTTTTTCATGATGCAGAAATACACAAAGTGTCGGTGCACAATTCGTAACTTGCAGCCTAAAAGTGTGCGCGTCTCCAGCCCTTTTTCACGTGCTCTATATCAGGTTGGCATTTTTTTCCCCTCTACAAATTCCTGAGTCTATCTCAGAAACCCCAGGTAAAGTCAGTATTTGCTATATGAACCAAAGATCCAAATGCATTACCGTGCCCTGAATTTGTGTTTGCTGGTCGGCGGGGTGGGGTGGGGGGGGGGGGGGGGGGGGTTGTTTGTGTGGGGGTTCAAGCCTGTTCCATATAGCGTGAATTAACCTGGGAGGCAACACCGCATGTGGTTGCACCCCGGTTGTTTGTTGAGAGGCACTTCTCGAGAAGTTCACTGATGGCCATGGATATTTGCTTGGGCAGCCGCGTTTTGTGGAAGGTTTAGCAGACTTCTCTTTTCAGAACCGAGAAACGCATTATTAGGAGAAAAGCAATGTTTTGCATTTCTTCTAATTATTTGAGTTTATGCGGTAACTTCTGAAAAGCAAATGAAAGCATGTTTAAATGAAGCAACTGTAAATACCATTCATTAGTAACTTATTTTCCCTTGAGTCTTGTGAAGTGTGATTTTTAAAGACTGCTTTGTCTCTTGAATAGTATTAAGATTACAAGCACATTTTACATTCATGAGGCTGAAAGGCAAAAACGAAATGATCCTGCATTTCTTCACATTGTTAACTATGTGACTAATTTCAATTAATATGCTTATCATACGGAACTGTTCGTGTTTTATTTCTGAAACACGTGTCGTCGTCGTCATCTCCATCCATTCTTGTCTTTTGTGATAACCTCCAAACTGTTTCCATTTCCCACTTTTCCTGGAAGTGGCACGTACTCGTGCCCCCCCATAGCATCGCGTGAACTGAGTTGGTGGAGAGAAGAGCCTGGGCCAGATTTGCTACCGCTCATGTGGCCCCTGTAGTAAATGGGGGTGAGCGATATCCATTGCACTGAGACAGGTCCTCGTGTAGGCTGAAAAGACACCGGCAGGTTCCTCGCTCCTCTTCCCCCATTGGGTTTTGGAGGCAGAATCCTGGCGGGTGCGCGGGTGCTGTATGGGGGTTTGGGCGAAGCCGTGCGGGTGGCCGGTGCCGCGTGGGCAGTTCGGACCTCGCTTGGGCAATAACCTTCCTCCTAGGACACAAGGCTGCTTTACCTGCCAGTGCCTACGTTCGGTCTAATTAATAATTGACGAGCAACGTTCCCCTGGCTTTTGCGGGCATCTGCAAAGACCGGCTTCTTTGCGCATCCCCATGAGTGCAGCGGCCACCTCTCCGCAGGCCGGGGGACGGCACGGTGTGCTGTGTGCCGCCGGGATGCCAGGCTGTGTTTTTCTTCTCCTGTGGGGTGGCAAAGCCGCCCCTCTCCTTCTCCCAGACCCCTCTGACATCTCCTCCATCTGTTTTCCCTCGCGGCCAGGGAGAAGAAGCAGCTCTCTCCCCCCTCTGTGTGTGGAAGGTACGGGGACTCCAGCTCTCACCAGTGCTCTCTTTTCCCAGCGGGTCGCCGGAGGCTCCCAAAACACCCCCCTCGCCTGTTACTATCATTATAGCAGATACTCCTCGTGTCCCACCTCTCCCCCAGTAAATTGCTTTACTGCAATTACAAGTTATCACTATGGGTGAAGAACTTGAGTCATTATTTTGCCAAGTGCAGGAAATGTGAACCATTCTTTGCATCCCCTAATCACAATGAGTTTGCCGGTTGTTGAATCAAGAAGATAAAAATAATCCTCCCCGTTAGAATAGCTTTAGTAATCACGTGTGACACACAGGGCTGCACATGGAGAGGTCAATGTAAGGAAGAATAAAAGGGGCTGTGCTCCTGAAGATGCTGCAGTCAGGGCTGGTCATGCCCCCCCTTCCCATCCCATCCCATCTCCCCCCGCCCGGTCTCTGGCTGTGCTTGCCTGGGAACAACTCTGCCGGCTCAGGATGGCAACAAGCAAGGAGTTTTGTCCCACGAATTAGGAGCAGGCGAGAGCGTTCGGTGGGGAGTACGTTTGCATGAATTCCCCTCCCACGGGCAGGGTTTGCATCATGCAGACCTGAAGTCTGATGGATTTTTTTGGCTCCGCTGCCGCAGCCGGCTGACTTTCCCCCCGGAGCAGGTCGAGTGCTGCCGAGCCAGCATCCGTGGCTCTCCAGCACTGACATGGCTCAGAGAGCTGCGGATGATGTCAGCCGGATCCGGCTGGGATGGGTGACATGGTGAAATGTCCTTCGAGTCCCTGGGCGCTACGGCCTTGGAAAGCCATACATCCCATCGCCACCATACGCTGGGCTCCTCCGGGGCTCGGGGCTTCTGCGCTCCCACCGCTGCTGTGCGGGGCACAGGACTGTGCTGTCAACATGAGCTAATGCTGACACACAGTAAATATTAGCAGGCAGAACGGTGGGAATCAGAAGGAAAATATTTAACAGTTCATTCTCTTCCTACAAAGATTTCCATTTAGAAAGTTAACTCCAGTGTGCCTCTGCATGGTATTTCTTTAGAACAAGGAAAAATCGAAATAAAATGGTCAGATCTGTAATAGCTAAGGTAAGAGCTGAGTTGCTGAGGCTTAAAAAATTTCACATGGACTGGTTCAGCTCTCAGGTAGGTCAGTGCAACTCGGGCTGATCCAGTTAGTGCTTGTGTCATGAGAGAAAAACCAAACTCGGTAACGCTGCCCTCCCGCTTGGTGCCTGTTTGCTCTGGTAGGCAGGAGTTATCCGCTGAGCGAGTTGTAATTTTTTTCCGTTTCATTGAAAGCAAAACCCAAACCCAGACCCTAAGCCACAAAAAAACCCAAAGCCCCAAACATAACCTTGCAAAATGAAAATAGGAAAAGGACTTTTTTATTTTTTCCAGGGGGTGTAATTCCAAACAGGGAATGGAAAGCTCCGTCCTCTCACAAGCCAGTACAGCTAAATACATGCTTAAACCCAGATGTAAATGATGTTAAATTTCCCTTGGTGGAATCAGGGTAATACCTATCAGAAAACACAATATTTTAAAAAACGGTAATTGCAAATAAGGTAAATGTGGAGAATGTTTTGGAATAAGTGAGCGTGTTGTACAATGTGTAAAAATGTTAGTCATGGCCCTTCATTTATTTGTTTGTGTCCTTGGCAGGCTTCAATGGCTGAGAACAGTATACCTCTATACACTACTGCTTCCATGGGAAATCCCACTCTGGGCATAGCCAACGCGATGAGGGAAGAGCTTAATGGTGCAATGGAGCATACGAACAGTAACGGGAGTGACAGTAGTCCAGGACGTTCCCCTATGCAAGCAATGTAAGTACGGCAGAGGTGCGTGCGTGGCTCTAAGCATTGTCTTACCGTCTGCTGAAGTGTGGCTGTGGAGGCCTTTGCGGTTCATTCCTGAGGTTCATGGATGGAACAGCAAGAGCAGACATCTCCGTTTGGGGACATGCTTAGGTTGATTAGAACATAAAAGGGCCATTTAGCAACTTCCACATGAAACCGATCAGCTCAGTGCAGTCTGACAAGCACACGGAGCTATAAAATTGTTAACGTGTTTGCAATTCTCTTCTTTAAACCTTGCAAAACCTCATAGGCAACTGCTTTCTTGGAGAAACAAAATCTGATTTCTCTCCCCTTCCGTCCACGCGACAAGCGTGCTGGTGGGGCAGAGCTGGGAAATGGGCTTGTTTGGCAGGTCTAAAAAAAACCACTTGACGCACAACGGTCTTGCTAAGCATTAACGATGGCACACGTGAAGGTCTGCGTGATTTATAGATTGCTCTTAAAATATCAAAAGGAAAATTAATAGGAGCATTATAGCAACAGACGGCAGTATAATGAGTGCATATATAACCACATGAAGTAATGGGGGATCGCCATCCCTGCTCAACGTGAATTGCACCTGGGCAGCGAGCTGGCACAGGAAAGGGTAAGGCAGGAAAGGTGTGATGCCCTGATGGGTGTGTTCGGTATTTATGGGGTGACAGAGTGAGTTTGCAAAGCTGTAAATTCCCCCCTCCCCTCAAATTACATACTGGGTAATTGGCGGCTGGCGAGGAAGCTGGAGTTTATAAGTCTTGTAGTTCTCTAAAAACTCTACGGAGCGGTTGGCTACTTGTGCGAGTGACCGCGTGCGAGAGCCGCGCTGCCTTTCTTCTGCCTGTTCCTTAAAATGGGCTGTAAAATTACTGGCTGACTTGCCACGGCTCACATTACGCATTAAAAAGAGAACTAATTTGTAGTCTTCTACTTCAAAGTAATTTGAATAAGGGATTTACAAAAGTAAGTCTAAATCAAAAAGTAGAAAAACATTAACCTAATACCACGATCGTAATTAGTTGTGAAACTAATTAGCATTTAATGGCAAAAAAGTTTCCCACCTGCATAATGTGTTGTCAGAAGGGAGGGGGCACGAAGGAATCTGAGGCTCTGGATACTTTGATATTGCAGCATTTTAAATCAGTGCACAAAGTGCTTTGGAAGAAAAAAAAGCTTTAAAGATGGCAACGTTCATTTTTAATTAATAATTAATTTAAACATTGTCTTTTACCGTTTACTTCAAAACATTCAAATAATGTGTTTAGCTTTTCCAGTGATTGTTTGTGGAGTATTAATTATCTCTCCCAAAGTAGCGTTGCATGACACACTTTCCGTCTCTCACAAACGGATTCATCTTGAGGCAGTTTTAGTCACAATTTGTTATCCTCTGCCCGTGACCACGTAGGGCCGGCGTGAAGCAGGAGCGGAGGGACGTGGCTTTTCTCCAGCAACAAGACTTCTCCCAAGGGTTTCTCCTGGCCTAACAGACAGGGATGAACGTTTATGATGTTGCGTTAATCCAAGTAATTATGTTTTTGCAAGTTCAAGGCCGGTGTAGTTCATGCACTTCTCATTTCACCTAAGGTTTCGTTGTCTTTGAAGAGACTGCGAGGAAGGAAAAATAAGGGAGTTAAAACAGGCTAGGACATCTTCCAGAACTGTGCATAGCCGTGGCCTTTGTTGCACTTAATAATCATCTCTTAGCATATTGATACCAAGGTGAGGGGCACAGAACAAATACTGGAGAGAGAGGAGGACGGGGGGAGGGATGCCTCATTTTCATTATTCACCAGAAAATCCAATTTTCTGTTGTAATATGGAAATGATTGTTTCCTGAGTGTTTTCATTTTCTCAGAACTGATAATATATGTGTTCTCTGCTGAACATTTCTTTTTGCTTAAGTAAAATGCGGCTGGGTGATGTTCCAATACCAGCCTCTGAGCTTCCCCATTAAAATGGTGTTTCTAAGTAGTTTGAAGGGATCTAAAGCCAGAACACCATTCACACGTCGCGGGGTTTACCCTGTTTACTAAATAAAATCATGAGTCAACAGCAGATTTCCAGATGCCGTGCAACCTCTTCTTTTCTGTAAGCCTGCTTTGGTAATGACATTCTCAATTTTTTTCTCGGAACAGATTTCCTTGTCATAATGCAAATTATTTTTTAAACAATTTCAGTATATTAGAATAAATCAAGCTTTAAACTTTATTGTAAGGTTTAAAGGACCTTGTTAACATGACAGCTAAGAAGTCTAACACTTCAGCTGAAGTCTTATTACTGCTCATTCGTTTCCTTTTTATGACACATTGAACCACGGCTAGGGTTGGTTTTTTTTTTCCTTCTCTCTGCCTCCTTTTGAAACACTAGAAAGTAGTCGCATAATTACAGCTTGAGGACATAACACTTTCATCCTGATATGCTCCAAAGGTAGCCACAAAGCAAACTACTCCATGCTGTGTGCACCACCAGAACTCAGTGGCTTTAAACAACAGTCAGCTTTATTAAAAACTCCTCTGTTCCCAGAGTGGACAAACAAAAGAATTACTCAGTTGTGAAAAGAAGGGGAATCTGTGTTCAGCAAGGTTATTTATTGTTAACCCCTTCTGGAGTCTTAGGCGTCTACTTAAAAGGAATGTGCTGAAATTCTGCTACTATAAAGAAGAAAGAGGAAT